TATATATATATATATATTGTGGGATAATTTACTATGAAAATAATTTTAGAAGTAAACATATATCTCTTGAAAATAGGTTAGCTTTTATATCTCATTGCTTGATATACCATTTACTTTATATGATATTATATATAATGAAAATATTACTATAAAATATTATAGGAGGTAAAACTAAAAAAAGTGGAAAAGTTTAAGGGTTTTATTCATTGCATAATATTTTGTGAGTTTAATATGTATATAAGTGTTAGCTAAAACATGATCATCTATATAATTTTTTAGATTAATTATTTAAAAAAACAGGTTCACCATACTCATTTCAATTTGTTGCAATACATGAATAAAAACTATAGACTTAATGTTCTAAGAAAACACAATATCATATAATAAATTAGTAGCCATTTCAACCTAATTAGGTGGCATAAATATCCAAGGTTTAAAGGTTCACCTCAAGCTGAACCATGTGATGAAAAAATATTAATTTTATTAAAGTATGATTAAATGATCTAATAATTATGCAAAAAAAAATTGTGCTATTCAACAAATATCATCCCAATTTATAACATTTAAATATTTTGAAATTAATTCTAAATTAAATTGTTGGGATATTTAATTTTAATTATTATATATGCATGTATATGTATATATATATATATATATTTATATATATATCCATTATTTTATTCATTTTATTAAAATAAAACTATAAATTAAAGCAAAATTATAACTGAATGGCTAAAAAAAAAACAATCTAGCCCATTGGTTTAGTTCTAATACCATCAATTTTATCCAGTTTTATATGAAAGTATATAAGGACCTAACCAAATTGTTTAGAGGATTGATTCATGGTTTGATTGGTTGGGTTTGCTAATCTAGATAATTTTTTAAAACCATATTAAGAGCACACCATTAGTATCATAATGCATTATAGGAAGTTTAATGAGATGAGTTACAGAAGATAATGTACGTGTAAAAATATTATCTAAAATAACTAGTATGACATAGAAGGTTGTTAACTTATTATTTATTTTTTTTAATATGCAAACTTAAATGAATGGGTTATAACCCGCAAAAAAAGTTAGGTTTGTGTTTTTCATATGTAGATATTATTTTAAGCATTCAAAGTAAAGAAGTTTTTTCAGTTATGTCCCTAAAATTATAAAAGTTAAGTTAAAGACTTAAGTCTATATAAAATATTTATAACTAGAAAGATAGAGGTGAATTATCTCTTAAGAAATATAAATCATATTGAACATGAAAAAAAGTAATTAATCCAAGAGTTTAGACCAATTATATAAGTCCATAGTAAGTATGTGCATTCTAGGTACATTAGGAGGCTCATCGACAAGCTCACTCAGAAAGGCTATCGATAACCCACACAAAGGATCTAAGAGCAACATAATTGTGTAATTTTTAATGGGAAGTGGTGTAATTTAATGCTTATTAACATTGCTACTAAATCGAAAAAATGCTTAATTTTAGCTCATCAAGATAGATTTCTAAGGTAAATGCATTAATAATTAAGGCAAAAAAATTTAATTGGAGGCATACATTTTCTATATTTTTGGAATAAATTGTAGGGTATCCTTAAAAATCTATCTTAATAAATTATCAAAATAGTTAAACCTATCATAACCATATGAGCTTTTTCGGTCATTTTTAGCCCTTACTCTTTTCGTCTCCTCCATTTGAAATTAGAATGTTATTTTTTAATATGTAAGGGGAGTATCTTATCATTATGACTTTTAAAATATCTCAAATAATAATTTTATTTCATAGTCTCTATCATTTCAACTTATATTATATTTTTTTATGACATCATTTTCTTTCCAATATTCCATTCCAAAATACTTTTCCTTCCTTATAAATTTGAATTTTGTAAAGTTAGTTCTTTAACATGCATCCATATTTACAAATCAATTAATTAACCTTATTATTTAAGGCAACAAAATAATTTTTTAATTTTATATAAAAATCAAATATAAAAGATATAAAGATGACAAAATAAACAAAAAGTACTTAATGATTTGGAGAAAACTTAACTAAATAACCTTCAGGTGAAGATGACATTATAGTGCAAGCACATAAGTCCTAAGCTCTCTTTACTAATTTAATGTCTTTTTTAACAAAGTAATTCTTTCCCTTCAAATTACAATTCACTAGTATATACATACAAACTTGTACATGATCACACACACACACACACACTCTC